CCAACCCTTTTATATTGTCAGACGAAATCCCCATATATACACCCGAAGTAGTAGCAGCAGAAGCAGCCGCTGCTGCTGCCACGGCCATCTTTACAGTGTAGAAAAAATAAAAAGAGACAAAATGCAAACCATCACAATCTCATCATTACCACTGTAACGATAAAAAGCTGGGTTAAACAAATGGGCTCCTCTTTTCTCTTTTCCGATCCGAAAGTCCAACAATGTCAACGTAACAAATGAAAAACCGGAATTTAATTATATGGGTTTTCTGCGAGATTTTGATCTGAAAATGTCAGCGGAGAAACAAAAAAAATGACACAAAACTGGGAAACGAATTGGGGTGTAAGATCGGAGAGAGTAAACGGTGTGGAATTGAGGAGTAAATGAGTCAGTACTAGGAGTAATTTTACCAAATTAAAGACTCATCTTCAACTCGGGGTAGAACGACAAACCCGCTACCTTCCCTGTAAAACCAAATGGATTGGATTATCCATTAAAGAACCAACTGATTGGTTCAACGTTTATCCATTAATAAATCAAACTGCAGTCTACATTTCAAATTTTAATTTGCATTTTTTCTTGTCCATTAATTGGTTTATACATTTCATTACATAAGGTCCAAATTCAAATATTTAAATAGAATAAGTTTAATTTATATTTTAAAAATAAACTCTCTTGTACAATAAGATTGGACAGTCCAATCTTAGGATTAATCTACTTGTACATAGGTGTGTACATAATGTGAGTGGGGTGGAGCCCACGACACTATAGCGTAGGTCCCACCCCCACTCACATTATGTACACGTCTATGTACCAATAGCATTGCTCCCAATCATAATTCTCTCCAACCAACATGACAATTTATGTGATTGCGATTAAAATAAAATAAAATTGAAACTTCGCCGACGATTTTTTTATTAAAAAAAGTTTAGTTGTTATGATGAAATTTGACTTAAACTCAATAACGAATGGTGTTTTTATTGAAAAAAAATCGAAAAATGTTAATCTCCCCTTTGTGACATATGAATACCAATGTCCAATGTGAACAGTACCTATAGTTCGGAGAGCTTAACCGTAATTTTCTCTAAAAATGAGATAATTTATGTGATTTGATATTTGATTGATTAAAATAAACAAAATTGAGACTACATGAATGAATTTGATACCCAAAAAAAAAAAAATCAATTTATTCTAATGAAGGTGGGTGTTTCTAAATGGAATTTTAAAATATTATAAATTTTAATGAATTTCATGAATTTTAATAAATTTTCACGGAATCCACAAGAATCCCTTGAAATGGTAAAATTTCAAGAGAGTTTGATATGCATATTGTTAAGCTAAAATCGATCCAAATATCTTGAAATTCTTTTATTAATGAAATTATAATAAATTCATGAGTTATTAGGACGTCTAGATTTTAATGAATTTTAATTAAGGATACCTAATTGCAAGGACTTCTAAAATTAATTAAAATTTCAATTGAGTACATCCCGAGTTTCACACAGTACATATTAAATTATAATTTAAATTGATTAAATATACGTTTATTTATACATTTTATAGGAATCGCAATTGATATATACTTTTTATCTACGCAATTGAGGTTGAAGAAAATAATTTGCTTTAAAATAACTCAAAAGTGATATTTGAAAATGCAACTTTGATGTAATTTGATATGAAGTAATGTGAGCCGTAAACTTGGAGGATTCGTTGCCGTCGGATGGAGGGTTTATCCCTTCATTCATTACAAAACAAGAAAAGAAGCCCAGCATTATACGTTCTTTGTCATTTGGCTTTGTGAACATTAAGTATAGGGAAAATTATCAAAAATCAGGTGTTAAGTTGTGAGTTTTTAAAATTCAGGTTTAAAATTTATCTATTCAAAAATTAGGTATTTTATTTTATATATATAACCCTAGATCTATCCAACCCCTACATTAATCCATTTCATTTCTCTCCACCCTCTCACCCGTCGGTGGAGTCGATGCCGTGCTCGGCGGAAACCATCTCCTAGAACCTCGCTCTGATCTGATTGCTGCATTAGCCGCCCTGAATGTGTAGGATTTCCCGCATTTTGGGTGTTAATTTTAGAGTGTGTTTGGGATACATTCTTTTGAAAGAATGTACTATTGAATAGTAGATTGATGGAGAATGTGTGGTTAAAAATGAAGAAAAAATTATTGATGTGATGAAAAATATTATTTTATTGAAAAATGTGTGGTTGAAAATGAGTAGAATAACAAGAATAAAAAAATAATGTGTACTAAACAGGGCCCTAGACTATTATTCTACTTATCCTATGTGATGAAAAAGATTATTTTATTAAAGAATATGTGGTTGAAAATGAGTAGAAAAATATGAATGAAAAAACTAATGTGACCAAATTGTATATGACTGTGACCTTAACAATTGTCGGAATCGGAGCAGTCGTCGGAATTAAACGGCCGCAGAACGGCTACCGAAAAGGTCGTCGATCGCCAAAATTGTCGTCAAAATAGTCGTTGGAGTAGAGTGGCCAACGAAATTATCGTCGGAGCAGTAGAGATGGTGGAGGTGGGTTAATTATATTATATTACAATTAAATATTTAATTAATTAATAAAAATCTGATTTTTGTAATNCCTAGAACCTCGCTCTGATCTGATTGCTGCATTAGCCGCCCTGAATGTGTAGGATTTCCCGCATTTTGGGTGTTAATTTTAGAGTGTGTTTGGGATACATTCTTTTGAAAGAAAGTACTATTGAATAGTAGATTGATGGAGAATGTGTGGTTAAAAATGAAGAAAAAATTATTGATGTGATGGAAAATATTATTTTATTAAAGAATATGTGGTTGAAAATGAGTAGAAAATGTGAATGAAAAAACTAATGTGACCAAATTGTATATGACTGTGACCTTAACAATTGTCGGAATCGGAACAGTCGTTGGAATTAAACGGCCGCAGAACGGCTACCGAAAAGGTCGTCGATCGCCAAAATTGTCGTCAGAATAGTCGTTGGAGTAGAGTGGCCAACGAAATTATCGTCGGAGCAGTAGGGATGGTGGAGGTGGGTTAATTATATTATATTATAATTAAATATTTAATTAAGTAATAAAAATCTGATTTTTGTAATTTTGAACCTTAGCACCTGATTTTTGAATTTGACAAAGTTAATACCCGATCCATGAATTTTTCCCTTAACCTTACCAGTAGAGTGATATTTGTAGTGATTTGGAGAAGTCTTTGGTGATTCTGGTTGTAATAATCTTCTTGTAAGAACTTGATTTTAAGAATATTCAGACTCTTTAAAAGTGAAAATCTCATGTTCATTTAATTCCGTTATGGGCTGCGATTGGAACTATGACACATTTAGTAAGATACACTTATAATTACTATAAAAATTATTTTTTGATAAAAAAAGAAGAAGAAGAAAAAGGAAAAGGAAAGCAAAATCTCTAATTTTCTACGTTTCATGCGTAAAAAGTGATTGCAACCTGATGAATATAACTCTTGTTTGAGCCCCAATTTTGGATCAAAATGCATTTTAAAATAATGTTTTGTTAGAAAATGCGTGATTAAAAAATAAGGAAAATTTTTAAATTTACGTGTAAAATAATTTTACAGGAGAATATATGACTTAAAATGAGTTTTAAAAAAATAAAGACCAAATATAAGCAAATGTTATTCATTTATAACGAACATTTTATACACAATAACATATTTAAATTTAGAGAGTAAAAGTTATTATATATTCCACTAATACTCTATATTTTCCCTGTTCAATTTTTTTTCTAAAAAAATATTTATTGATTTATTCCCATCTTTTATCTTGCACATTTTTTATTACGTAGGCCAATTAATTCAAATCAAATTCGAACACTAGGGTTTTGAAATTTATAATTATTATACATTCGAATTTGACTCTCGACTCTTTTAAAAATAACTTTCCCCCATGTATAGAAAATTTCCCACAGAATTTCATCAGAAAACTCACAATATGCGGACTCCCACAATGTATTAAAAAAATGTGCCGTGTGTGTGAATATTTTGGTGAAATTCTGTGGATTTGACTTCTGTACATAAAGCAAACCTCTTTTAAANAGTCCTATTAACTACCTCAGTTTTCTCATCCGTTTGTGGGTGACAAGTAGTAGAAAACAATAGCTTGATTCCCGACTTATTCCAGAAAATCCTCCAAAAGTGATTAAGGAATTTAATATCCCTATCTGATACAATGTTTTTAGGAATCCCATGTAAGCGCACTACTTCCTTAACGAATAAATCAGTAACATTGCTGGCATCATCAGTTTTTATGACATGGAATAAAATGTGTCATCTTACTAATCCCCCGTTTGACACTCGTTAATTTCTCTTTCTCATTTTCATTCTTATTCTCATTCTTCATTTCAACCACACATTCTCCAAATAAAATAATATTACACACAAATCAAAATCTTTTCATCACTTTTTCACCACACATTCTCACATCAATCACTATTCCAAAATTTCTATTCTCCTCAAAATTAGATTCAAACACACCCATCCTCCAATTATTCCACTTGTACAGAACTATTTTATCTGTAAAAATGATAGAATATTCACATGGGGAGGGCCTCATGTGAATAAAATATTATTAGGATAAATCTATATGTATATAACCTCATGTGAATAAAATATTATTAGGTTAAATCTATATGCATATAAATAATTATTGTACATAATAGATTATATAGGTTCATGTGGAAGAAATTCGACCGTGAATATGAAGTGTGGAAAAGTCAAAAATTGTAGACTACCGATAGATGGATGTAATGATTATTTATTTGTAATCCATATTATTATAAAAAAATGGGGCCCACCCCCTATAGGTGTGATATGGTATTTTGACAGAAAAAATTTTTCTGTAAGGAATAGCACTCTTCTCTCTTCCTTATTGTTAATGCTCATCTACGGCGGCGCCTATTAATCCATCTCTCACAAAAATAAAAATAAACTACCACCTTCGGCTTCAAGTTGAGAAATGGCCGTGTCACAAACGATTTTCCTGCAGTGCCCTTCGGCTTCAATTTCACCTTTCTCGGCACCACCTTCTTCTGCAATTAATCGCGTTTCTGTAAAATTTATGGTTTCTTGCTGCTCCGTTGCGTCGCCAGTTACTCTTGTTAACGGAAATGTAGATAGCAAGCCGTCGGAGAGAAATGAAGTTCGGCTCGGGTTGCCGAGTAAAGGCCGAATGGCAACGGACACTCTCGAACTTCTCAAGGTAATTGTGTTTGTATATGTATATGTGCTGATGTACGATGTCAATTTTGGAATTTGCGAGATTGGTAGAGGCAGGTTATATGTAATTAAATTTTCGAATCTTAGATTCCAATTCCCTATTCCACTTGTTTGATTAAGTTAATCTTGGAACCTACTGCTAGTTTGGATTCCATCTTAAGGTCAGCATGTTTGGAAATACCAACCTTGGAATTCAATTGAATTGCTCCATCGAGCTTTTAAGCCCTGTCTCAGTATTGAGCCTTGGGGTCCATTAAGAGTAATCGGTTAAGAGGATTAGCTCAAGTTTTTACTTTGATAATTGTTTTCGTAATGAACAATGTGGGACTTTACCCTTAACGCTATTTTTCTTTTTTCTTTTTTTAAGGATTGCCAATTATCGGTGAGGCAGGTGAATCCACGACAATATGTAGCTGAAATTCCCCTGGTGCGTACACTTCATCACAGAACCTAGTTTTTTCCATATTTAGCTGGTAAAACATTGGTATTGGGCTGTGTAGTTTCAATTAAAATGAAATTATCAATTGGCTGTTTCCCATTTTGTGATTAGTCCGTCTAAAAACTAAGTAGATTGTATTTTAGATTTTCTTTCTTCAACACTGATGTTGGCTTATGAGTGAAATTATGGATTATTTGGTAGCCATTTTGATGTTAATCCACTGTCTTGATGTCATAGACAGTGGAAGCCGATGGGGTATGACGGTTGAGGAGTCCCAGACTTTTTCACAAATTCTCTCATGCTTCCCCTTTTCCCCTGAAGATTTCCTTCTCCCAGCCTCTTGGATGGATGATCTATCTTCCCTTTCATTTCTGGGCTTATTATTTTTCTGAAAGTTTCCAATGTTATTGAGAAGATGATAGTTAATAATGTCCTTTCAGGCATCAGGGGTTGCCATCTACCTAGTTGCTAAACCTGTACAACCAGTTCAGTTTTATTATTTCAGTGTTCTCATCTTATGACAATGAATATAGATTACCTGTTCTTTCTCCACAATTATAGGTTTCAATTTGTTTCCCTGGCATATTATGGTTGTTCTCTGCAATATTTTGCAAGGATTGTCTTTTATTATTCAATTATTTTACTATTTTAGTGTGATCAACGTAAATTGTAAACAAACCTCACAAAATGGCACAACATTTAGTTTTGTCTTCTCTTGAAAAGTGTTCTTCACCTGGGAGAAAAAGAAGAATGCAACATGATATTATCATCAATGCATATCTACATTCCATGTCGTGCACGCAAACCATATCAATTTGAGAACTCATGCGAAATTCCTACGAGTAAACTTCCCTCCGAATATGGAGTCCTGGATCTGCTACATGCACCATAATCATGAGCTCTGATGCTCGGACTCTTCGAAATGGACGAAGTACCCGTGTCGGACACGACACGAGTATGAATATGGGATATGTGTCGGATCCTCCAATTTTCAACCAGACTCTTCGTCGTTTCTACTTTTTTCTTTCTTTTTTCGTTCCCCTTTTCTTCTTCGGCGACGGCACTATGTTTTCCCTTCTTTTTCTTTTTTCTTTTTTCTTTTTTCTTTGTATTTTGTTCTTTTTTTCCTCATTTCATGTTTGTATCGATGGTTTATGGTTTTCTTTGTATGAAATGAAAATGGGTTCCATATAGTGCTACTTAGTATTCCACTAAGTTTAAATTACAATCAAATCCCCCATTTTCTATTTTTTATAATATCTCCAAAATTCTATTTTATTTGCTTTATCCCCTTATTCAATATTCATTTCCTTCTTTGTGAATGATTGATTTTGATCTATTTAAAAAGACATCTGGGATTAATCAAATAAATTGAAATTGGAGAGACGTAACCACGTACCCGTGTCCAAAATTTGGACTCTTTTTAGCCATGTATCCATATCCTATATTTTAGAAAATAAAATATTCGCCACTTAGATACGTACCCGATACCTGTACCTCAGTCCGAGCATCATTATCCTATATTTTAGAAAATAAAATATCCGACACTTAGATATATACACGTACCCGATATAGACACATACCCGAGTCCAAGCATCATGGATCATCAGCAATAATGTTGATACATCACTACGTGCATAAAAAGGTGAGTGTCATAAAAGGGGAGTGTCAAAATGAGATAATCCATTCTCCTGATTTCGGCCGTCCTTTCAATTTTGATATAGTTACCAAATTCTTTTAGTGTATCCAACTCATTCTGTTGCACATTACCAACTGCCACCTCTACGTTCTTACCCATTGTAGACCATCACCAACGGGTAATCAACATGTCCACATTCTCCACACAATACATGAACTCGAGCCTTTTCTTATTAAGGTGGGAGAAATAAAATAAATAATGAAACTGAAGAAACAATAAATTAATTGAACCACCTCCACAAAAGCCACCAATGCCGCCTTCTAGCCTCAAGCTCAAAATAATTAAAAAAAAAAAAAGGAGCCTGTACCTCCGCCATAACTAGAGTACTTCGTCTATGAGCTTGTTAAACCACCCTTTTCACAGTCTTGCCTGCACAATGACTAATCCAGTGAAATGATAAGTCAATGAACAACTGTCATCACCAGACCACTACCATTGTTTCTACTGAGCAATATCTCACTGTCGTTAGACTCCCACAAATTGGTTTTCAACTGGTAGCATTAAGTGGACATGGCTGCATCCAAGGGACTTCAAATGACATGTAACATATTTTCTCTTTTAGAAATGACTTGTGGAAAATATCACGTCTGATTTACTCAATATATTGGAACTTCAAGGTATTTCCCTATAATACGTTAGCTCATCCGATTTCTGTACTGTAAGCAGCACTTTTATACCATGTTGCTCACAGCACCCCGACAAATTTTCCCCGTCTTTATGAATATATTCTGAACTCCAATATACACACATTTATGGTGCATGAAAGTGATGAATCCCATTGTACAACGTAATATTCTCTGGATACCGATGTGTTCATCTTGTGACATGAGTTTTCTCAATTTTCATATGTATTCTAGACATTTATGTTTCTTTAGCTAAACAAAATCCCTTTTATGATGTTGCAGCTTCCAAATTTAGAAGTTTGGTTTCAACGGCCAAAAGACATTGTGAGAAAATTGGTTTCTGGAGATTTAGACCTTGGTATTGTAGGTCTTGATACAGTTTCAGAATATGGGCAGGTAAGATTTGAGGGTGTAATTTAGCTAGCATGATGATGCTCATCTGTTATGGAGTATAACTAACATGAGAGAAGTTTCTTTATCATGTAAATGTTTCTTTAATATGGTGGGATTGATGATATGAAAGTCTTATGCTTCTTATTTCCGTCGCAACTTTCAATTTGATATTTGTCTCATATGTTGAGCCAACAAAATAAAATACCTTTTTCATTTTGACTATCTCGCCATGTTCATGATTTGAGAGTTTTCTGATCTACCATTTTCATAACAGGACACATGCTACCTGTGTCATTTTCTGTGCCAATTATTTATGCTCTGATGATTGCTTACGGGTGTTAGTATTTTGCTGTGCAAACTACTGTGGATCTTCTTTTATGTCCATATTAATGTTTAAAACATGTAATCCTTTTATCAGGTTATAATCCTTTGAACCTTTTGCAGGGGAATGAAGATCTCATCCTTGTCCACGACGCTCTTGAATATGGAGATTGTCATTTATCTTTAGCAGTAAGATTTTTTTACGTGAAATATAGTCATTACACACTTTTTCCCCCTTACCTATGGAAGGTAATGTACTCCTCTACTTTAGATACCCAAGTACGGCATTTTTGAGAACATTAACACTTTGGAAGAGCTAGCACAGATGCCACAATGGACAACTGAAAGACCTCTGAGAGTTGCTACTGGCTTCACATATGTATGGTGTATACAGAGTTTTCTGAATCTTTGTCCTGTGTCCTTTTGCTTGACTATTTTCCTTTTTATGGAAGAGGTTATATTTAATAGTTCATGTTTATTTTCAGTTGGCTCCAAAGTTTATGAATGATAATGGATTGAAGCACGTCACTTTTTCAACTGCTGATGGAGCCCTGGAGGCAGCTCCTGCAGTAAGAACTAAACTCTCCTGATGTGGAAATGCTATACGTTCCAAACTCCTGCCTCTGCATTGATATTTTTGGATGTTCTTTTCCTGTTCTCCCTGCAGCATTTTCTACTGTTATGTGTGTGTAAATCTGATGCAGGGAGAACTACCTTCAAATTCTAATTGGAACAGCTTGATTCACTAGTATTTAAAAATTGGGCTAATACATAGTTAACCCCGAAGGTTGGTAAAAGATCAGATCTAGAGTGCTAAACTTTGCAACCTAAGCAATTATCGACAAATGTATCCTATGGATGCTCTGATTAAAAAAGGACGAAAGAAAATCTTTCCAAAATGGAAATCAATAAAAATTCTGAACATCCATCCATTTTTTAATGATTTCTTCATGCATCAGTTAGACTGAAGCTCGAGAAGAATAGGAGATCTTGATCCATATTCATAGCTAGAGTTTGAGGAAATACCAAATAAAACCTGGAATAGAGGCCAGATTTGGCTTCAAATCTTAAGTACTCTTGTCACTCTTATGAACATGAGCGTTTTTAGGCCTAAGCAAACATTTCCCAACCACTCAAATCATTCTTCCCTTAATTTATCCTCAACCAGTGCCACTTCCACTTGCCGGCATATCTTTTCATTTCCTATCCATTTTATTATGATTGCACATCCATCTTAGTATCCTTATTTCCCTAGCATTCATCTCAGGGACAATTGTCCTGTAACAGCCATAACTCAGCACCATACTTGAAAACTAAGAAACTAAATAACATGAAACAAAACAACATAGATCTGAATTATCTAGGAAATAAAAAATGTAAAATATCTAAATAAACTGAAATGAGATTGACCCAATCATTTTTCTTCACTTTGGAGAAAACTCATCCTGGAGTTTTGGCTTTGGATGATTAATGGGTTTCCCTATCTTATTTTATTGATTTTATTTTGTAAGACTCTGAAAAAGTTTCATCCTGATAACATCTTTTTAGGAGAATGACTGCAATCTAATAGCATATTTGTGTCTTACTGTTAACGGTTATGCATAATTCAAAATGAATCACAGCAGGAGACTAGAAACTCAGACAAGTGCAATTTAAATGAAATAAAACAAAATTCACGTTTAAGTGAACAATCTGGAAAATGTACATTAATGAGGTACCTTGGAGTTAGTGAAGGACCAGTGGTAATGTTACAACTCCATGAATAAGGAAAGTGAAGGCTGCTTTAATGATGAAGATCTCTAGGGAAACCGCTAAAAAGGATTACAGTTGAATTTGATTTATATTTCTCTCTCGTGGCTGCCTTGCCGATCGGAATGATTGAATAATTTAATTTAAAAAGGAGTACAAATTCTATATCCATTCCTGACTTTTATTTTTCCTCTTAATAGATGGGAATAGCTGATGCTATTGTGGACCTTGTGAGCAGTGGAACCACATTGAGAGAAAATAATTTGAAAGAAATTGAAGGTGGAGTCATCGTGGAAAGTCAGGTAGTTGCTTTTTTTGCTACTGAGTTTACAAAGCTGCAAACTTACCAGAATTTAAGATACTGATATGAGGAGAGACTATGGACATTAATGCAGAGTTAATATTTCTGGATTCTTGTTTGACCCTGTTTTATTATTTCAGGCTGTCCTTGTTGCTAGCAGAAAATCATTGACCCTGCGAGAAGGCGTGCTCGATATAACTCATGAAATGCTTGAAAGACTGGAGGCACATTTGAGGGCTGCTGGTCAATTCATGGTGTGTTCATTTGTTTATTTCGTTTCAATTACTATTTCTCATTATTTCAGTTACCTTACAACCCTCTTGGCAGGTAACAGCCAACATGAGGGGAAGCAGTGCGGAGGAAGTGGCCGAGCGAATACTAAACCAAACATCTTTATCTGGGTTGCAGGTGATATGGACTTTTTGTGCACATATATTGTTTGGAAATAACAAAAGAAAGACGCCCCCTCCAACAGAAATGAAACAGTAAAAACTGAGGGGCAGCTTGGGATAGAGAGACAGAGAGATGCGTGCGAATCGTGTTTGCATTACCCTTTCACTTACCTATTCCTCCCAAGCACTTGTCTTGTTAATGAAGAGAGATGCACGCAAATCGTATTTGTATTACACTCCACTCAACCATGCTACACGATCACTTGTCTTGTCAATAATAACCTTTATCTATATCATAGAGTTCTCGTATGATTTCATGCTTATACATGCAGGGACCCACTGTCAGCCCAGTTTTTTGTAAACGTGATGGGAAGGTGACAGCAGATTATTATGCCATAGTTATTTGTGCACCAAAGAAAGAACTGTACAAATCTGTTCAGCAGCTTAGGGCGGTGAGTCACTTCCTTTCAGCTATTGCCTTTATGCACTTATGTTTGTATGCTTGAATGTTGTTCACGATTGTCTCCAATGCAACATTTTACCCTTTCATTCTGACGAGTAGGAGGATGGGGAGATTTGATATTGTAAATTTCTGGATGAACTGTTGAAACTTTTTCGTGTTTTTCACAATTTTTGTTTTGGGTTTGCATCAGAACCTTAAATCATTTCCTGGATAGATAAGTATCTTTAATCTACTCATGCCATCATCTTATCATGTGGAATAATTTTTTGGTTTTTCATTTTCCGGTCTGTTTTGGTGCTCTGATCTCTCTTGAAAACCTTTAATGTTTTTTTTTTTTTGGTCTCTTTTTTATTCTAGATTCTCTCTCTCCCTACCCCATGCTAATGGTTCATTTGATAAGGTGTGGATTGTATAATACTCCACAATCAACAGTCAACACTATTAAGGAACAAAGTGAAATTAAAATCTTTTCTACTGTGTTGTTGTATACTACTGCGCTTTAATAGTCTTGTTAAGTTTGTGGGTCATGTATTATCTGGTACAGATTGGAGGTAGCGGGGTTTTGATTTCTCCTTTGACCTACATCTTCGACGAAGAAACTCCAAGATGGCGTCAACTTCTTTCGAACTTGGGGATGGGTTTCTGATTTCTCCTTTGACCTATTTCTTCGACAAAGAAACTCCGAGATGGCGTCAACTTCTTTCAAACTTGTGTCTTTAGGCATATCCAGTTTACCTTGGTCTCCAGGCAAGTGGGGAATACTGCAAAGCTTTGTGAAATTGTTTGTTTCGAGTTTTTCTTGATACCTCAGGTTTTTGCGGACTCCAATAATTGTTTTGGAGTTGTAGAATCAATTTACTTCCTGTGTTGTAAAACTTAAAGTGAGTGTAGTAACATTATACAACAATCTGGGCACTTATTTCCACGTAATTCATGTTTCGCTAAGCAAAGAAAAAAGTATTTGCAAGTAACAACAAGCCCATGTTTGGTGGGATTAAAATCAAGATTTTAATATAAATTAAAAGTAATAATTAATTTTAACTATATATTTGTGGGGTTCACAATTTTTTTAGTCACATATTTCATCAATTTTTTGTCTAAATCTAAATATAATTTTTAGTTACACCAAATGAGGGTTAAATACATTTTGTAACTTGTGCTGGTAAAATGTCTCGTGTGGAAGTAAAATTGAAATTCCTGAAATAAGAATAAAGTTAAAAATTAGAAAATTTGTAAGGAATTATTTTATTATATTGAATCGATTGAATTTATTATTGCAAAGTGTGCAAAACTTTTGTTTATATGGGTAAAATATTTTCTTAATCATACTAGTATAAAGATATTAAATTTAAATCATAATTTAAAGGAAAGAAATAATTTCTAATCAATAAAGAAAAAAATTATATATATGTTAATAAAGAAATATAAATCTTATTTTAAATAATTAAGAAATAAAAAAGAAACTATTTTCTAAATAAGAAAAAAAAAAAAGGAAAAATCAATTCTATTTAGAACATGATTGTCCTACATCATCTTCCCTCGTTAGAAGAAGAAGAAGAAGAAAAAAAAAATGGTCCTCGGATTTGGTTGAAAAAAGAAAATCGATTGACTCAAAAAATTCCGCCACGTCATGTCTCAATGTTAGTTGTACCTCTCAACAAACTAGAAAAATTTAAATCCTCAAATTGTTCAAATTCATTGAGACTGAAGTTCAGTTCAGATTCAATGGTATCTAATCTCTCATCACCTCAAAAATGGTCAGTTGATGCATCAGAAGTACCACCCGCCTGAGATGGAATATCATAAATGTTAGATTTCAAATAAGAATTATGGCACAAGTGAAGTAGGAATCACAACAAAAGAACAAGTGGCAAAGGAACGAAGAACTTTATTTATATGGAAAGAAAATACAAACAATATTGTGTATCTAATTTATCTAACTTGTTCTATCAATGAAGAAGAGCCAACTATATATGAGGGTATATGTCAAACCCTGATAATAGTACTAAAGATAAAAATAAAATCAAAAATCACGTGGAATAAAAAAATAAGAAAATTCCTGTATAGGTCCGGCACTCGTGTATCAACCGGACGTTAGGCGAGCGGCAACCTGCGCCCCGTACTGACTTTCGGGACAAAACTTGATTCCATGGCACTCGAACGCCCGGCTAGCACCGTCAACTCCTTTTTCCACCTTAGGCCATATTTTAACCTTTTCAAAGCCCAATACACCAAACCACCATATTCTCATCGAATTTGGGGTCACAAAACTCAACAATCTCCACATTAACACAAATTTCACTGCAATGAGCAAGGCTTTAAAATTTCTCTACCAGGAGAAAAAAGTTTGATTACAAGAAATGAACTAAACTGAACTGAACTCTTCAACAAGAACACCAAATTAACTTCTCCAATGAACCAAAAAAGGTTTCTCCAACTCCTCCACGAAGTCCAACTAGAATAAATGAATACAAGCATTGTTCAACAGAATTACCTCAAGTTCCCAAATTTTGCTCGAATTATCAACACGAGCAACAAAATTACAAAATAAATCAACAATCGCCAAACAAGGCAAAACCATCCCTAACATAGAATCAATACCACAAAATGATTTTGTAGAAGTTTATTAGCTAGACTCAACACCTTTAACCACATTTAAAGTATATGCAACTCAATCAAATTTCCGCACCTATGTAGAGGTCTAATATTTCTTCTGGATCTGTCTCTAACAATTGAATATGATGGTACCGATGGTGGTGATGACAAAACGACATTATCCATAACCTCTAAATTCAAATGAGAAATATTCTTCAACATGGACCATAAACCAAACTCTAACGGTACTATCCCAAATTGAATATCCACGAAAGTACTAAACCACTGATTGATTTTCAAGGATTTTAAAAAACCTTACAAGACATACATTTGGGACCTTTGACGCGTCTCCAACACAACACGTCTATCTTTACAAACCTTCAGAGCTCCACCTTCACGAGTGAACTTTTACCCCTTTGAATTAAGAGTACTCAAGAAGATAAGACTTCTCTTCAAATTTGGAACGTGTCTCACCTCATCAAGTATTCTAACTGTCACATCCAACATTATAAATCTAACCCTTCCAATACAAGCTACCTTATAGGGTACGTTGTTTCCCATAACCATGACACATTTCGAAACTTCTTCATATGTTGAAAACAAAACTCGATTGGGACCCATATGAAAAGTGCAAGCTATTTGAAGAATCTAATCCTCATCAAGTTTGGAATCGTCGTCAAAAATAACCAAAAGTTCTCTATCACTCAAACAGTTCTTTGCAACATCGATTTCACCTAAAGTTTCTGATTGCCTTTCCTTCTGATTTACAACCAATTTTTTTTTTCCATTCTACAACTTGTAGAATCTTTCTTTATGTGTCCCTTCTTCTAACAATAATTACAAACTTATTACTAGAGTTAGATTTTGAATTCCCCTCTCATAACCACTGTGAACAACAAAACCTTTTTCTTGAACCTCAGAAAGGAAGAGATTTTTCATCTTCTCATTTGAAAATAAAGTATCATAAAGTTCTTCAATAGTAAGAGTATTACGACTATATAATATCCTATATCTAAACGACATATACGAAGATGGCAACGAATACAACAAAATTAAACCCAAATTCTCTTCGTCATACTTGACCTCAAAGGTTTCTAAATCAATGATAAATTTTTAAAGACAACAATGTGATTTTCTAAGGATGTATCTTCTATCATACAATGAGAACACAAACGTAGCTTTAAGTGCAATTTTTTGTTTGACTTTTAGTCATACATAATTACTTCAACTTCAACGATAACGCAGCTACGGTTTATCCTTCAAACGTTCTGAAGAATATGATTCGAAAAATGAAGATAAATTAGATAAATGGCCTTTCGATCCTTACATTATTTCCCTCCATTGACCAATTTGATGGCATCTTGTCAAATTCCAACAAAGTGCCATCCAAATCTATCTTTGCAAGCACTACTTGCATCTTCACTTGTCACAACAAAAATCTAGTGATATGATCTAAAAACGTTCATCATACTTCATGGTTGCCTCAAGAACAAAACCTCAAATAAATAAAATCTTAAAGTCCGACACCACTTGTTAGAATTCAAACAAGAATTATGTATATTGATATCACTTGTTAGGAATAGAAAAAATGAGATTACATGGCACAATTGAAGTAACAATCACAACACAAGAACAATTGGTAGATGAATGTAAATTTTTATTAATATAGGAGAAACTACAAAGAATACTGTGTATCTAATTTATCTAACTTGTTCTAACTATGAAGAAGAGCCAACTATATATAGAGATACACATCAAACCTAAACAATACTCCCAAAGATGAAAATAACATCAAAAATTGCACGGAATAAAGAAATAAGGAAATTCTCGTATTTTTAAGTCCGGCGTTCAAGTAAAAGTTGAGCGCCGGCTCGTGTCGCTCGAGCGTTAGGCAAGCTGCATCTTTGGTGCCTCGGCACTGTGTGTATGTCACCCCAGCGCTAACTTTCAGGACAAAACTTGACTCCATGCCGCTCGAGCGCCCAGCTAGCACCGTCAACTCATTTTCCTCCTTGGACCATATTTTAACCTCTTCAAGACCCAATACACCAAACCATGCACGCCTTAATCGAATTTGAGTCATAAAACTCAACAATAAAATAGTAGCATTGTTAGAAATGGGATTAGTGGTCTTCTAGAATAAAATTCAATCCTAGAATTATTTGTCACTCTCAGCCTAAAGTCAGGATCGATGAGCATTGGAGCAATAGGGATCATTAAGTTTGATCCACTTGTCTTAGCGACTTCAAAACTAGGCATATGATGTCTCAGAGCATGAAAAGAAGTGGCTGATAGAGATACAATGTTTCTATCAGTATTTCGGTCTCCAAATTTGATAATAAAGCCCATTCTTGGTCATCATCCACATCCGGATTAGATAATGTACATGCATAATCTTTCCTTTTAATTGGTTTGAAGTTCATTCAGTAGAAACTATTTCACTTTCCTATTTTTCCTTTGTGGATTTAAACATCTCCATTGATGATCCAACCTAGGAACTCTCCGATGAGGTTCTACTTCTCAAAAAAATAATGTTTGACTCTATATCAACTTTTAGATGGGATGTGACATGCCTAGTAAATGAAGTATCTTCAAAAGAAAATCGACTACTTTGTGTGACGGATCGCCCATCCAGCTCCCAGGTTCCCCAATCCTCAGGAGTAGCCTCCCACACACACGAGCCGACAAGCCAAGATATAAGAAATAAGCACAATATACTTGGGAAGGAAGCTTGCGACCATACCTACATAATAGATACCATTAGGGCACTTTTCTGGTATTATGGCCTTAAATCCTCAATTAGCAATCTTGTTGTACCACATGGGTAGGGGAGTTTGCTAATCTTTTGACTCACTCCCCCACTCAATCCGCTAACGCCCTCGTAGTAGACCGTGTACTTCGCATCTTCGGGCAACTTCCGCATCGCATTCTCCTGTATGCTTCTAGGCATGAAAATTCTCCACAATTGCAGCATCATCCCCTTAATGAATGGGAATCCTTAGTGCCTCATGCACCTCTTTTCATCGTAACTTGTACATGTCACCTTCGACA